ATTTGAGAAGTCTAGAGTTGGGAATCCGGGCCTACGAGAGTGATGGCGAACCTTTTGAGCTCGGCGCGTCAGCATTTTGAAAAACTCTAACTTAACTCTGGTGCTGTGTCACATATAGAAATTTTTGATATTTGCAACCATAGTAAAACAAAGATGTATATTTTTGATACTTATTTTATATATTTAAATGCCATTTAACAAAGAAAAATCAACCAAAAAAATTAATTTGCGTGTCACCTCTGACACGCGTGTCATAGGTTCGCCATCACTGCTTTAAGACATCATTCTGATTCAGAATATGTTTGCTTCATCTAAAGTTTATTTGGCGGAAAGGTATGGATTTCAGCATCAATCAGACACTGAAATGACATTGGTACGATAACTATGTTTTAATGAAACTATAGTCTTTCAAGAACGACTTCCTTTCCCCCTTCTTTTTTTGCTCAAAGGGTTGAAGTTTAATAAATTAATAATTTTTGCTACTTTATCAAGTAACATTCTTAAATAAAACTTGATTTTTATGTTTTAACTGCAAGTGTGTGGTGGCAAAGAATTCAGTGACTGCTAAGAATTCAGAGTTGGGTGTTGTCCTCCTTTGAACTAAGGTGACACCATTTTTTAAAAATTGTGATAAAATATACAAACGTAAAATTGACCATCTTAACTGGTTTTTTTGTTTGTTTGTTTGTTTGTTTTTGTTATACTCACCAGAGGACATTTTCTCCATTATTTAGAGAGAGTGGAAGGGCGAGAGAGAGTCAGAGAGAGAGAAACATTGATGTGAGACATATGGATTGGTTGCCTCCCACATGCACCCCAACTGGGGCTGGGAATTGAACCTGCAGCCCAGGTACATGCTCTTGATTGAGAATTGAACCCGAGACCCTTCAGTCTGCAGGCTGACACTCTAACCATTTAGAAACACGGGCCAGGGGTCTCTCAAAATATATAGCTGGTACCCTGATACCTCCCTCCCAAGCAGATTATAGCAGAATATGGAGGAAAGAGAGGGGAGATCATCTATAATAATCTATAATAATAAAAGTATAATATGCTAATTAGACTGGACAGCCTAACAACCTTCTGACAACCTTCTGGATGAAGCCGGAGCTGCAAGGGCCAAGCCCCTTGCACGAATTTCATGCATCGGGCCTCTAGTTTTCTTATAATAGTTCAGGCCCCAAACCTGACTTCTCCTTTGCTCACATCCAATTCATTAGCGAGTTGTCAGCTCTACCTTAATAATAATAAAAAAACACCTCAGTTCTTACTGCTTTTCTGTTTTTACAAGCTATCACCACCCAGGTTCTATGCTCTGTTATTTTGTATGTGGATTATTGCAATAGTCTTTTAAATGTATATCAGATTATATATCAGATCATGATATTCCTTTGCTTAGAACCCTACAGTGGGTTCTGATATAAACCATTCATTCTACTGATTTATGAGGCCTTACTTGACTAGCTAGTGCCCCCTCCCCAACCCTCATTCCCATCTCTTATCATTCTAACCCAGGGATGGGCAAACTTTTTGACTCGAGGGCCACAATGGGTTCTTAAACTGGACCGGAGGGCTGGAACAAAAGCATGGATGGAGTGTTTGTGTGAACTAATATAAATTCAAAGTAAACATCATTACATAAAAGGGTACGGTCTTTTTTTTTTTTAGTTTTATTCATTTCAAACGGGCCAGATCTGGCCTGCAGGCCAGTTTGCCCACGGCTGTTCTAACCCCTCAATTCTATTCCCGCACACTTTCATTTTTATCTTTGTTTTTTTACTATATTTTTTTCTTGATTTTTAGGGAGAGAAAGGGAGAGGGATAGAGAGATAGAAACATCAATAAGAGAGAAACATCGATCGACTGCTTCCTGCATGCCCCCCTATTGGGGATCGAGCCTGCAACCCAGGCATATGCCTCATGGGGAATCGAACCAGTGACCTCTTTGTTCATGAACAAACTACTGAGCCACACCAGCTGGGCCTCACTGGCTTTCTTGCTTTTTCTCATATACTCCAAAACTACTCCATCCTCTATCTTTAGGCCTTGGCACACACTATTTCCTCTACCTGCAGTGTTCTTCCCCTAGACTTTGTATAGCTCAGTTCCAAATATCCTTTTGCTATCTCCTCAAATATTGGAGAAATAACCTTTCCAGACTTCCATATCTAAAATAACTTTCTCTCTTTCTCTTACTTTATTCACCTTACCCTATTTTATTTTTCCTTAAATTAGAGGTCACCACCTGACATATGTTACTAGGATGTAAGTTGAGGATGGGAACTTTGTTTTGTGTACTCTTATACACAGTCCTGTTTTCAGTGTCTAGAACAGTGGTTCTCAACCTTCCTAATGCCGCAACCTTTTAATACAGTTCCTCATGTTGTGGTGACCCCCAACCATAAAATTATTTTCGTTGCTACTTCATAAGTGTAATTTTGCTACTGTTATGAATCATAATGTAAATATCTAATATGCAGGATGTATTTTCTTTTTTTTAATATATATTTTATTGATTTTTTTATGGAGAGGAAGGGAGAGGGATAGAGAGTTAGAAACACCGATGAGAGAGGAAACATCTATCAGCTGCCTCCTGGACACCTCCCGCTGAGGATGTACCCACAACCAAGGTACATGTCCTTGACCGGAGTCGAACCTGGGACCTTTCAGTCTGCAGGCCAGTGCTCTATCCACTGAGCCAAAACAGTTAGGGCTGCAGGATGTATTTTCATTGTTCGCGACCCACAGGTTGAGAACCGCTGGTCTAGAACATAACAGCTATTAGTGGCTGCTAAAAAAATTACTATTAAGTAAATGATCACATTGCTTCTTGTTTAGGACAAATACAGATATATATGGTTGAAGTGAATAGCACAAAGTTAGCACCCCAAAAAGGGGAATAATGTGGATGTAGAAAGAAACTGATTTCTTGATGACTTTGTTCAACTGATGAAATAACTAATTCTGGAGCTGTCCTACCTTTGGACCTTTTGTTATATTGGATAATAAGTAACCTCTCCCACCCACCCCCCACCCCCCTTTTCAGCTACTTTGAATTGGGTTTTCTGGTTCTTTGAAGCCTAGAAACACCACAGTTCATATAGAGCTATTTTACTACTAAATTTAAAAATGACCTCTTGGGTGGAGAAACTGAAGTAAGACTGATGATACTCATGTCCCTCCAATGTTACAAATTAAAACAAATCTTTTAAAACAGATGTCTTTACATAGTAGGAGTGCATATATCTTGGTTGCGGGCACATCCCCAGTAGGGGGTGTGCAGGAGGCAGCTGATCGATGTTTCTCTTATTGATATTTCTAACTCTCTATCCCTCTCCCTTCCTCTCTGTAAAAAAATCAATTAAAAAAATATAAAATTCAATTTAATATTTTAGAGTTAAAAAAATAAAATATAGTGTACCCATCTTAAATGTTAAAAAGGGAAAGACAGGATAATTGTCATGTATTGAGTTCGTACTGTTAGTCATTGTGTTAGGTTGCTTGTCTTAAAAATAGTTCTGTGTGTTTCCAGTGATGCTCTACTTACCTCCTGTCAGTTTAATAGAAAAAAACAGCCTCAGAAATCTGAGGTTTGAGCAGGTTAAGTTTCACACAGCTATGGATTGGCATAGCCAGGATTTAAATCTAGGGGGTTTTGTTGTTTTAATAACATGTAAAAACTCTTTACTGAATATGTTCACTAACAACACCTTAAACATTCCAAAATCTAGGACTTATGGAAATAGTTAAATAGTAGGATGCTGGCTAATCATAGCAACACCAGAAGTCTAAAAATGGGGGTACTAATGTAATGAAACAATGTGATCTTGAGTATTTTTGAGAAGAGGTTGTGCTTCTCTCTGTTGTATCTATGAACATTTTATCTTTGGTTTCCCAATGATGATCTCTTTGGAAAAAGTGAAGATATTCAACCAGTACCTTATACTAGGGCTTAGTACTTCAGCCTCTGTGAAAATGGATCATAATTACTTTTTCCTAAAAGTGATGTTGCAAAACATCCTTATTACTACAAACACTCTCAGTAGCTAATTTGTCAGGAGCTGTTTAGTGTTAAATAATCCAGCAAGGGGTGCATTTAAAAAGTTCAGTCCTTATTAGGATTGCTTTAACAATCAATCATAAGTTAAGGCTCCAATGAATTATTTTCTAGTTGAGATAAATGACCCAGTGGCATCACAGGACTTTCATAATCTGGTCTGTTATGACCAAAGGTGTGAATCTTGATGGGTGACTGTGGAAGAAAAAGCTGTTACTGTTAATCATAAAAATTTCCTTAACAAAAAGAAAAGTTATGAATTTTACTGCAAGGAAACTAAGGCCTTGGAAAGACAAAGTGGTTTGGTTAAGAATTCACAGTTAATGGTACAGGTAGACTAGAGTCTTGGTCTCCTAAGTTGCATCTATTGTCCTTTTCATGAATAAACTTAATGTGTATATTTACAACTAAAAACCTTTCAAAGACTCAGTTTTATTCTTTACTCTTTTAGCCTACAGACTCCAGATGAGGCTGAATTTATATGATTATATCATTCTATAATTCTATGAATATTTTTTAAAATTACGGATATGATTATTTCTTTTGTAAAGCATTTATTGTTTGCAGATAATGTTTTCTGATTCTCATTTTATAAAATATGGGAATAGAAAAACATTATATACATATCTATGGAAATAACCAGATACATTTGGTTAAACATACCACTCTTGATTTTTAGAGAAAAAGGAAGGGAGAAAGAGAAACGTCTATGTGAAAGTGCAACATCTGTTGGCTGCCTCCCACACACCCCTACACGGGACTGAGGCCAAAACCCAGGCATATGCCCTGACCAGGAATCCAACCAGTGACCTTTTGGTCCATGAGATTACACTCAACCAACTGAGCTACATCGGCTAGGTCCACACACTACTCTTAATGGAGCTAATGTGCCCCTATTCCCCCCTTTTCCTCTCAAGATTATTATTATTTACTTTTCATCTAGTAATTTATACATCTAAATACAGCCCATTAGGTGGTCCCAAACCATTTGAGTGCCCAAGTATTCAAATCACATCCATCTCTCCTAACTGTCATCAAGAAGTAGATGCTCATGAAGATGACCTACACATAAATGACCCAGAAAAGGAATATTTGGAAAGACCTTCTAGAGATCATCTCTATCTTCCTCTTGAGCCATCTTACCGAGAGTCTTCCCTTAGTCCTAGTCCTGCCAGCAGCATCTCTTCTAGAAGCTGGTTCTCAGATGCATCTTCTTGTGAATCTCTTTCACATATTTATGATGATGTGGATTCAGAATTGAATGAAGCTGCTGCCCGATTTACTCTTGGATCCCCTCTGACTTCTCCTGGTGGCTCTCCAGGGGGCTGCCCTGGAGAAGAATCCTGGCATCAGCAATATGGACTTGGACACTCACTGTCACCCAGGCAATCTCCTTGCCACTCGCCTAGATCTAGTATCACTGATGAGAATTGGCTGAGCCCCAGGCCAGCCTCAGGACCCTCATCAAGGCCTACTTCCCCCTGTGGGAAACGGCGACACTCTAGTGCTGAGGTTTGTTATGCTGGGTCCCTTTCACCCCATCACTCACCTGTTCCTTCTCCTGGTCACTCCCCCAGGGGAAGTGTAACAGAAGATACTTGGCTCAATGCTTCTGTCCAGGGTGGATCAGGCCTTGGTCCTGCACTTCTTCCGCCATTTCAGTACTACGTAGAGACTGATATCCCTCTAAAAACAAGGAAGACTTCTGAAGATCAAGCTACTGTACTACCAGGAAACTTAGAGCTCTGTTCAGATGACCAAGGGAATTTATCACCATCCCGGGAGACTTCAATAGATGATGGCCTTGGATCTCAGTATCCTTTAAAGAAAGATTCATCTGGTGACCACTTTCTTTCAGTTCCTTCACCCTTTACCTGGAGCAAACCCAAGCCTGGCCACACCCCTATATTTCGGTGAGTTGATGAAATGGTTGCCTGTCATTCATACTTATGGATTATTGGCGGCATGTAAACTACATTATCTATATGGAATTGTTTGACCATTTTCCCCCCTCTTTTATGTTTTTCTGTTTCTTCCAGACAAATAACGAAGTCTGCATTTATTTTCTTCTGAGTCTTAAAAGTATCTTTAGATAGGCTAAAGTTATATAATTAAAGCATGTAGATATGCCCTAACTGGTTTGGCTCAGGGGATAGAGCATCGGCTTGCGGTTTGATTCCAGTCAAGGGCATATACCTCTGGTGCGGGCACATACCCAATAGGGAGTGTGCAGGAGGCAAATAATCGATGTTTCTCTCTCATTGATGTTTCTAACTCTCTATCCCTCTCCCTTCCTCTCGGTGAAAAATCAATAAAATATATTTTTTAAAAAGTGTGTAGATAATGAATTGTAGATAACAAATTACACTTAAGAATCTCTAGGAGGGATTTTCTTTTTTAATTTATTGATTTTTATAGAGAGAGAGGAATAGGGGAGAGAGGGAGAGACAGAAACAGAGAGAGAGACAGAGACAGAGACACTGGTTGTTGTTTCACTTATTTATGCATTTATTGGTGGTTTCTTGTATGTGCCCTGAACAAGGATCAAATCTGTAACCTTGGCCATGTTGGGACAACGCTTTAACCAACTGAGCTACCACGCCAGGGCTAGAAGGAATTTTCTTATCTAAAAAAGGTTTTTGTAAAAGATAGATTATAGTATGAATTAAGTTACTACTAAGATTAATTGGGAATAAGCTTTTTGTATTTTTAAGAGTTCAATATACAAATGAAATTTGCCTTTTCATATTTGTGGCAAGTGGTTGTTTTTTTTTCCTAATTTTTATCTTTTAACTTCATAAGTTTGATTTTTTCCACTGTGTAGAGGAATTTTAAAATTTTAGGTATTCAAATTTATGGCTTTTGAGTTTTGTGTTATATTTGAAAGTCTTACTCCACTCTAAAATAATTTAAAGATAGATAAAAATCTAATTTTCACATGTTTCTAATAAAGTTTTTTTTAAAAAATATATTTTATTGATTTTTTTACAGAGAGGAAGAGAGAGAGATAGAGAGTTAGAAACATCGATGATGAGAGAAACATCGATCAGCTGCCTCCTGCACATCTCCCACTGGGGATGTGCCCGCAACCCAAGTACATGCCCTTGACCGGAATCGAACCTGGGACCCTTCAGTCCGCAGGCCGATGCTCTATCCACTGAGCCAAACCGGTTTCGGCTCTAATAAAGTTTTTATATGTATAAGATATGCGTGTAACATAATATATATTTATATTGTAAATATTTATAGTGTTTGTACTATATATTGTATTTGTAAATTTTATTTTATTTATTTATTTTTTTAATATATTTTATTGATTTTTTACAGAGAGGAAGGGAGAGGGATAGAGAGTTAGAAACATCGATGAGAGAGAAACATCGATCAGGTGCCTCCTGCACATCTCCTACTGGGGACGTGCCCGCACCCCAGGTACATGCCCTTGACCGGAATCGAACCTGGGACCTTTCAGTCCGCAGGCTGACGCTCTATCCACTGAGCCAAACCGGTTTCGGCTATTTGTAAATTTTATATGTATATATTTATATAGACTCGAGCCCAGCTAAGGACTAAAGAATAGTATAATGACTGTATTTTCCAAATGGCTTATCAGTCATAACAATACCATTTATAGAATCTTTCTAGTATATAATTGATTAGAAAAGACAACTTTACCATGTATTAAATCACCACATAGAGTTGGGTTTGTTTACTTTTTTCAGAAAGCTTTTTCATTGGTATGAATGTTTATTTATGTATCCAGATCTTTAGAAAAATATAATGTAAAATTATAGTTCTGAAGATACCTTTGAGCTCATCACTCTGCTTCTGAAAATCTTAATCTTATTAAGGATTTGTTTAAGTCTGCAGAAACTAGCTGAGAGTAATAAAAATTAATACTGTTGAGTTACACAGTACCCTGTAAAGCTAGACTGAGGACAGCCAAGAATCAATGAAATAATTTAGAAATTTACAGTGAGATTAATAGCATTTTAGAAGGTAGAAGAGATCTTAAAAGTCCCATACCAATCATTGAGAAGATACTACTTTTAAAAAATATATAAGAGAGAATGGGAGAAGGGGAGAGAGATAGAAACATCGATGATGAGAGAGAATCATTGATTGGCTGCCTCTTGCAACCCCAAACTGGGAATCGAGCCTGCAGCCCCGACATGTGCCCTGACTTGGAATTGAACCATGACCTCCTGGTTCATAGGTCACGCCAGCCAGGCAAGAAGATATTACTTTAATACAAAACATTCTAGCTTTGGGTTCATTAATATTTGACCTATAGCTATATAAGTTGTTTCTTTTCCGATTCTGTATTTTCAGTGTTAGTATATCTAAATGAATCTATAGCCCTTTAAGCTGTTGAAATTATCTTACTGATCATTTGAGATGCTGCAGTGATAGGCCTTATATTTTTAAAGCCAGGTATGTACTAAAATTAAAATTTTACCTCAAACTGCAGTACATTGCTAACTATAATCAATATTTTAGAGAGACAGGGTAAAGAGCAATAGGAAGGAAATGGGGGGAGCCACATGTACAGTAGACTGACTTTTATAGCCTGACACCAGGGAGGAGGACATATATCCTGAGACACAGAGGCCTCTGGATCCTTGGAGAGATACTGATACATATACAGAGATGTGCATCTTTCTTTAAGAAATCAAATTATTATTATTTTGATTGTTTTTGTACTTATGCAACACAGTTGAGAAACAGTTATAGTTTTACAAATGTTAGAATTTGTCCTTAAAAAAAAATACAGGAAACTAAAGATGATAAAATCAATTTTATTTTTCAGGCTAAGAAATGATCATTAAATTCATTATTTCTTAAACACCCACCATATAGGATGGTGTAACTTATTAAGTGAAGCTTTACTTTGGAATAGTTTGTTTTTAAGACCACAGGAAGAAGTGTTGGTGCTGACAATAAGTGATTTGAATCACTGCTTGGCAATAATAGCATGGTGAAATGTGTCTTTCTGTGTTTTGTTTATAGCACATCTTCATTACCTCCACTAGACTGGCCTTTACCTACTCATTTTGGACAATGTGAACTGAAAATAGAAGTGCAACCTAAAACTCATCATCGAGCCCATTATGAAACTGAAGGTAGCCGAGGAGCAGTAAAAGCATCTACTGGCGGACACCCTGTTGTGAAGGTATGCAAATACCATACATCTGTTAATGATGGAGTCTATTCAGTTAGGTACTACTGAGCCTGGAGAGAGAAAATTCAAAACCAAAGAGCTTCTGTTGAGGTTTTATGTCCTTGTTGATATGGCAGCACTTCCACATTGAGGTTTTTTTGGTGTGTTTTATTTTTGCTGGGCTAAAAGATATTCCTCCTGGATCGACTCTGCACCTGGGGAAACTCTAGGGAAGAATTACTTTTAAAGAAATATTATTTATTACAGCAATTTACAAAATCAAATGAAAAAAAATCACCAGCGTCTACTACTAGTTATTTTTGTGTATTTTCCCCATTCCTTCTCCATATCTGTTTATGTAGTTTCATTAACTAATTTTATTTATTTATCTTAGTTGTTGAGAGTATTACAGATGTCCCCCATTTCCCCCCCCTTTACCTTCCTCCACCTGGCTCCTTTCCCACCCCAGGCCGTCACTGCACTATTGTCTGTGTCCGTGAACTATGCAAGCGATGATATTTTATACGATATTGTTATGTGTGCATTTTCAGTTTAACGCAATTTATAGTATGGAAATTTAATTTTGTATTTTTCGTATCCCTATAATGTGTTCTAATATATTGGAACCCCTTCCCCCTAAGTAATTTAGTAGAACTGATAATAGAACTACTCTTATTGAAGCTGTTCTAGTCTGTCCTATAGTGTCCTTTGGGCTTTAACCCTCCAGATTTAGTTAAATTAAGCAGGCACAGACCTTTGCTATGGAAACGATACAGAAACATAACAAACAACTTGGCTTACTTTCTTTTATGAAGCAGAGGGTGGCCTGAAGAGAAGTATACTGATACTAGATGAATGTTTTTAAAGAGTAGTGTTAATATTAACAAGAATTTGTTTACCGCCTGTAACATAATGCTCCTCTGAAAATGGGATGGGATGATAATCTAAGTTATTTCATGTTCTTTTAAAATTCCCAAGATGCAAAGGAGAAGCCCCATTTTTCTTATGCAATAGTATGTACACTTGGCGCAGATGTTGGCCAAAATATATGTTATGAAATATATTCCCTTTGAAATTTTATATGCATGATTACCTTCCCCTATTACTGGTTCATTTTACTATCGAATTATAAAGGACAAGTGGCTTATGTCTTTACCAAGCAGGCATTAATGTGAGTCATCTAATATGACTAGGATACTTCCGTATATAGTACTTACTGGTATGTTATGTGATATTTGGGTAACTTAATAGATAGCAATAAAATTTTTTATTTGTGTTCTTTATTTTAGATGTAACTACTTCATTTTGAACACCTACTTTAGTGGCTATAATTCTTATTTAAATAGATCTATTGGCTAACCTAATGAGTTATTTTGCTCCAGCTAGTTGTACTCTTATTCCAAAATTCATTCATTCAATCAACAATGATTGAATGCCTGTAATGTGGTAGGTACAATATACTAGGCTCTGGAGATGACAGGATGGATGCTGTCCCTTTAACAGTACTTAGAGGCAAGTGGTAAAATTATTGGTATTTCTTTTTCTACTAAACAGTTGGTTCCATAGAATAATTTGTCCAATTTAGGATTAAATAAGAAAGAGCAAGAAAAAGCAGGTATAGCAGAAAGGAGTGGATAATCATGTGTTAACTATCAGTTTGGGGTAGTTTCCTGATCTTTCTTAACTTCAGATGCTTCATCTGTAAATTGGAAAAAATGACATATACGCCACAGGAGTTTTAGGGTTAAATGAATAATTTAGTTAAAACAGTATATCACTACTTTCTACCTTCACCTTTTCACCTCTATAGAATTGTGGATAAATTTCCTTCTGCTTTGTCACTTATACTTCTGCCTCCATACAAACCAAAAGAGAAAAATGGATTAAGTTAACTTGTGTGAATATGCACACATATCCCCTCACTCTTGCCATTTCATCTTTAGTTATTGACTTATTTATACTTTATTTTGTATTGTTTCTTTCTGGAATATTTTCCACTTAATTAAAACTTTAATGTTTTTGTTAACTTACACCAAAATATATATAAAGAAATTACAACAGAAAATATTGATAGATTTCTTGACCATATAAACATAGAAAACTGTAACTTCCAGTTAACTATAGCAGGTTGAACACATGTTTTTATTAGGAAGGGGGTCAACCTTCCTAATGCCATGGCCCTTTAATACAGTTCCTCATGTTGTGGTGACCCCCAACTGTAAAATTATTTTCCTTGCTACTTCATACTGTAATTTTGCTACCGTTATAAATAGTAATGTAAATATCTGATATGCAGGATGTATTTAGGCGACCCCTGTGAAAGGGCCATTTGACCCCCAAAGGGGTCGCGACCCACAGGTTGAGAACCGCTGCACTAGAGGCCTGGTGCACAAAATTCATGCACAAGTAGGGTCCCTAGGCCTGGCCGTGATCAGGGCCTTCCAGCTGCCAGCCGGGCCTTCCTTCCAGCTGCGGCTGGGGCCTTCCTTTGTTCTGTGCCGCCCCCTGCTGGTCAGCATTACATCATAGCGAGCGATCGAGCTCCCATGGGGACACTTTGCGTATTAGCCTTGTAAATCATCGTGGGGCATTTGAATTTAGTTCTAAATGTGGAGAGAAGCCACCTGATAGTTCTGAGCAGGGGCTTGAAAATTTCGGTTAGTGTAAGTTTGTTCTGGCTCCTGGACAGAGAATAGGCTGTAGGGGAGCAAAAGTAAAAACAGGGAGAGCACATATAAGGCTATTGCAATGGTCCAGGCTTTAATTGCTTCTCTATAAATGTTACAGGACTGAAAACCATACCGGGTAAATTATATTATCTGATAATAGGCAAAAGTCTTCATGTCCTTTCCTGGGTAGCAGAGGAGACATCAATAAATTATGATGTTGCTCAGTTACAAACTCCACTATAAAGCCAGGGATGGGCCAGCAGTGAAGGAATAAAGTATTCATCTGAAGGACCACATAATAGAAAAAAAACTCGTTATTCACACTTGAAACTCTGATTGATTCCATACTTAGAATCATGAATGCAGATCAATAGCTAATTGTTTATCACTAACTACATGTTAGACACTGTACTAGGCACTCTATATTTTTATCACATACTTGGATATTTTCTAAACCATAGTACAAAAACAGAAGAGAATTTTCTTTTTCTTTGGTGAAGAGAATTTTTTTTTAAAGGTTATTAGGGAGCTCATAAAATCTCAGGCTTGGAAGCTACATGGCCTGGAACACTGTCCACACACCTACGCAGTATTGCTGTAGTGAAAACATCACTGACACTGTGATTTGACCACAACTTGTACTGACAGTGCTTGGGGCTGGGCACCAGATACTCCACCTAAGTACTGCCTTGAAAAGCTGATACCGCCTCCATTATGCTTACTGAAAAATAGACTTTATGCAAGCCATATTTTATGTTGTTCCCTTTCTGGTTTAATGGATTAAACAGCTACAGAGAAAAATCTTTCTCCTAGAAGCATTTGGGGCCAAAAATAGGAGTGGTGAGAGATCTCTCCAAAGCTTCTAAGACCTCTACCAAGTACAAGGAAGCTGCCATCTCAAAGCAGAGGAATCAGCCTAAAGCTACAATGAAGCCCAGCAAAAGCTTAAGACGGTGATCTGACAAAATAAATAGCATGCCACCCTGTCCAGTGTGTCAGTGGCTAGAGCATTGCCCCATGCACTGAAGGGTCACGGGTTCAATTCCTGGTCAAAGGCATGTACCTGGGTTGCAGGTTTGATCCTGGCCCAGGTCAGGACACATACAGGAAGCAACCAATTGCTGTGTGTCTCTCCCATCAATGTTTCTCCTCTCTCCCTCCCTTCCTTCCACTCTCTGAAAATCAATGGAAAAAATATCCTCAGGTGAGGATTAACAACAACAAAAATTGGAAAATGGAACTTCCTTATGACCCATCGATTCCACTTCTGGGAATATATCCAAAGTCCATAAAACTAATTCGAAAGAATATATGCACCTCTATGTTCATTGCAGCATTATTTACGACTAGGGGCTCAGTGCACGAATTCGTGCACCTTGAAAGGAACTGTGGGTGATGAGGCTGTGGTGGGCACAGGGGCGGGTCTCAGCTCAACCTCCGTGCCCCCAACCAGCCCCTCCCACCACAGCCCCCAGTCCCTTCTCTGCCAGCAGCCCCACTCCCGCTGCTGCTGCTCTCACATGCTGATGGCACTGGCCCCACTTGCACCTGCTGGCAACATGGAGCAATTGGGGCCAGTACCGGCAGTGGGTGCGAGTGGCGGTTGCCAGCCCTGGTCGCCCCTCAGGGCTTCTCCACCTCCCCCTGCTCCTGAGAGGCAATCGGGGCTGTCAGCCACCACTTGCACCTGCTGATGGCACCAAGTGATCAGGGCCAGTACTGGACACTGACTGCGGGTACAAGTGGCGGCTCTGGCACCGGCAGCAGGTGTGATCAGGGCCGGCAGCAGGTGCAAATGCCGGGCGGGACTGCGGTGCACAGGAGCAAAGAATTTTCAGTAACCATCAGAGGCTCGCCCTGATGACAGCGACCAGCGCCCCACCTTGGTCTGGTGCCCCCACTCACCTGCTCCACCATCCCGCCACGGCCGATGCCCACCATGTTCCACGTGCGCCCCCGGTGTTAGCACATGTCATAGCACTGGCCTGCCCTTGGCCCGGAATCAAAATTGCAGGCCGATGCTCTATCCACTGAACAAAACTGGCCAGGGCTGAATTTTTTTAATGTTGAGCCAGTAGAGAGAGAGAGAGAGAGGAAGAGAAAGAGAAAGAGACACACACACACTAGAGACCTAGTGCACAAAATTTGTGCACATGGCAGCTGCACTCACCAGCCATGAGCCTGGCTTCTGGCTGAGCGGTGCTCCCCCTGTGGGAGCACACTGACCACCAGGGGGCAGTTCCTGCGTTGAGCATCTGCCCCCTTGTGGTCAGTGCACATCATAGCGACCAGTCATTCTGCCTTTTGGTCAATTTGCATATTAGCCTTTTATTATATAGGAAGATAGCCAAGATTTGAAAATAACCCAAGTGTCCATCAGTAGACGAGTGGATAAAAAAGCTGTGGTACATTTACATAATGGAATACTACTCAGCTATAAACAAAGAAGGAAATCTTAGCTTTTGTGACAGCATGAATGGACCTGGAGAGCATTATGCTAAGTGAAATAAGCTGTCAGAGAAAGACAAACACCATATAATTTTACTCATCTGAGGAATCTAATGGACAAAATAAACTAACAAATAAAATTTTAAAAAACACACCATGATACCTTTGTAATATATTTCAGAACTTTATAATTCTTAAACTACTTCCAAAATTTTGAAGGTTGTTTACTTACTACTTTTTTATTTAATTTATTTTTTATTTTGAGAAGTACATTTATTTTTTTTATTTTTTTAATATATTTTATTGATTTTTTTACAGAGAGGAAGGGAGAGAGATAGAGAGTCAGAAACATCGATGAGAGAGAAACATGGATCAGCTGCCTCCTGCACATCCCCCACTGGGGATGTGTCCGCAACCCAGGTACATTCCCTTGACCGGAATCGAACCTGGGACCCTTCAGTCCGCAGGCCGACGCTCTAACCACTGAGCGAAACCGGTTTCGGCGAGAAGTACATTTATTAAAGCTGGGGCAATGAAACAAGGAAGGGCTTAGGATAGAAGAAGCAACAGGAGAGAGCCTAGGTGGGGCTGCTTTGGCTCAGTACAGATGTTATAGGAAAGAAATGAGCTAGGTGGAGGTGCTTTGGCAAACTGGAAAGTCAAAGAAAAGAGGGCCTTGGAGACAGGTTCAGGGGATCAGCCTGGGACCTCCTCATTGCTCCCCTGGTTGCAAGTCTCATGGGGACCCTTAGAGTTTAAGAGCGGCTGGCCTGAGAGGGAAGAAAAGTGTGGGCCTGCTCCTGGGAGGGAGATCACACCCACTTACTACTTTTGAAAATGTTGTCTTTTAAAAAAATACTTCATATATCAATAATATATGATACCAAAATTATATACATATATATATATACATATATATGATAAAGATATAAAGATTTACTGGTGTAAGCTTATTGTAAAATGCATGGATAATAAATTGGGTGTTTTTTTCTGTGTTTTTTTCTTCCTGATTAGCTGCTGGGCTATAGTGAAAAGCCGATAAATCTACAGATGTTTATTGGAACAGCAGATGATCGATATTTACGACCTCATGCATTTTACCAGGTGCATCGAATCACTGGGAAGACAGTTGCTACTGCAAACCAAGAGATAATAATTGCCAGCACAAAGGTTCTGGAAATTCCACTTCTTCCTGAAAACAATATGTCAGCCAGGTATTTAGAAGCACACCCAAATGGATAGCATTTTCTTTTCCTCAAACAACTTTTGAAAAAAAACATACCTTTTTTCTTTTTTATAGTACAAAAATGAAATATTTGTTGTTCTAAGTTAACTGAATAACATTATGTAAATAATCATAGTACATTTGCTAAGGTTGGTAGCATATTTCCAGAAAGAAACTTCAATTCAGCAGAAATTTATGAACCCATGGTAGTACCTGCCAAGCAGTATACTAGGTGGTAGAGATAAAAATATTTTTACTTTTTTCAAGTAGGTCATAGACGAATAGGGTAAACAATGAATAAACAATTGTGGTACAATTATGATCGTTATTTCTTTTAAGAAAAATTTTGACTACCTTTAGGTGGCCAGCTTCCGAATGAGTAGGCAATAGAGTTTTGTTCAAGTGTATTACTTAGGATTATATATAGCTGCCTGTTATGAAAACCCAAAATCAGTGGCTAAAACAGGTTTGGTTTTGTTTCCCCTAATAGAAATATACACACAGGTATTTTAGGGCTAGCACAGTGGCTTCGTAAGTCATTGGGTTTCCAAGCTCCTGTTTTTTTTCCCCCCTGCATTTTTAGTATGTTTTTTTTTCTTTTTTTAATATGTTTTCATTGATTTTAGAGAGAGAGGAAAGGAGATGGAGTGAGAGATAAAAACATCAATGATGAGAGAAAAATTGATTGGCTGCCCCCTGCACACCCCCTACTGGGGATTGAGCCAGCAATCCATGCATGTGCCCTGACCAGGAATTGAGACATGACCTCCTGGTTCATAGGTCAGTGTTCAACCACTGAGCCACACCAGCCTGGTTGTTTCTTTTCTTTTTTATCTTATTTGTATTTATGTTGTAAAATGCCATATTCTTTCTAAACAACAGAGTATAAATAAATATATTAAAGAAAACACAAATTCTCACAAAATTAGGAAAGCCTCACACAACTAATAGTGTGTGTGGGGGGGTGGGAAATCAGAAAACTGGGGTCTGAACATATCTGCCTCTTCCTCTTTCTATCTACTAGCACATGTAACAGAGCTGGTGGTCATGATTTCATGTCCCTTTTCCAACAGAGCTGGCATATACTGCCTGCCTGGATCACACTATAAAGGACAAAGTTGCAGAAATACAATTGTTAATAGTAACGAGCAACTAGCCCCCTCACCCTATTTTGCCAGATGCATACCTGAAACTTCTCTGGCCATTTTATGCACTCTGGACTGTTAGATTGGGAAACAAGAATTCTATGGAAACCAAGGCTTCTAGCGACTTTGTATGTGTCCGCGAAAGGGTTGAGTGAAGAGCATCCAGGAAGTTACCAAATCTAAGAAACCTTTTGCAGGTACTTAGATAACAAGGTAGCTAATGCTAAATGAGCTTGTTTTACCCAAAAACTAATTACTATGATAAGCTATAGTAATTGAATGTAATATAGTTTCACATAGTGGGAAGTAAAATTTTGTGAGCGATAGATAAGACCATTCATTGTTCAAAATAATTTATGCATAAGTGAATTATAAGTATATGTCAAATGTCTCTACTGTTCTCTAAACAATAAATGGGAAAATATTGGTAGATATTCCTCTTGTTTTGCCTACTATCCCTCAGGCTTTGTCATTTCAATTCTAATCTCTCTTGGATGTGTAAGACCCTTTATTTAAAACCAGTTCACTAACTGATAAATCATAGATCCACCACCCTATAAGATACTTTAAATATAGCATGTCAGTACTCATTGCCTTACCCTACTCATAACTCCTTCCTGTTTTTAAAACTAGATGAATATGGATGTGGCAGAGTTACATTCTGATGTAAAATATAGTTGTAGTTGTAAACAGATTTTAGTATAGTTATTTTTATTCTGATATATGTAGTTTTTTGTTGGTTGGTTTTTTTTCTCTTGTCTGGCATTTCTTGGCCAGAGTTTTAAGATTGTCCTTTCTGATTCTCTATTTCCACATTTTCTATTAGAAGCTTAGCTTTCTACTAAAATACTTTCCTTCAAAACTTAATAAAATGTATACTCTCTGGTGTTTCCCCCTAAAGACTCATTTTGGCATGTTAACATTAATAATCACTACTTGATACAATTTGATCGATACTGCTTTGAACTAAAGTGCAGTTGTTTGATATTAATTAAATATTTTTTTCAAAAGTATATTTTCTTTTTTAGAAATTTTTTTTTCTGAAGATGAAAATATTCATCCTTTTTGAGATTCTTTCTTGTGTTTTACTGGTTCTTATCTTGATAACCTAGTTCTGTAATATACATTGTCCTTCAAAGCAACCTCTGTAGCCTTTTGGCAGTGCACACTAGAATTGGAACTTTTGGTAGATACAATAAGAGGATTAATAACAGTAAATGCCATAAGAGAGAGTGAACGTGAACTAGAATGTTGACCATTAGTTATCCGTTTGCTAAATTTTTCCAATATGTGAGTAACAAAGATATGTTGTAGGTACTGTTACATAGTTCCTACCATAGTTACGTGTTAAGCACACCATACTTAGTAATAAATTTTGGCCCTAACCGGTTTGGCTCAGTGGATAGAGCATTGACCTGCGGACTCAAGGCTCCCAGGTTCGAATCTGGTCAAGGGATATACCTTGGTTGTGGGCACATACCCAGTATGGAGTGTGCAGGAGGCAGCTGATCGATGTTTCTCTCTCATTGATGTTTCTGGCTCTCTATCCCTCTCCATTCCTCTCTCTAAAAAATCAACAAAATATATTTTTAAAAAATAATAGATAAATTTTGAAGGTAATGAATGTTAGATCTTAAATGCCAAAACTAATTTTGTGTATGCATTCTTTATAAATATGTAATATAGTTTAGAAATGACAGACACTTAAAATTTAGAAACTTTAGAAATATGTAATATAGTTAGAAATGCAAGAATCTTAGCCTGATGGATTGTCTTATTAATAAGCATCTATATATATAAAAGGCTAATATGCTAAGTGTCTGACTGTCCAACCGCTTGCTATGACACACACTGACCACCAGGGGGCAGACGCTCAACGCAGGAGCTGCTGTGACATACACTGGCCATTTACAGAGAAACAGCACCATGGCCCTGGCGCCCACTAGGCAACACTCGGCTTCCCCCAAGTGGGGCACAGGCCCCTGCCCGCCAAATTGCAGCTGACGCTACCGAGACCCCATGGCGCAAAATGCAGTCCACAGCCCAGCCCAGCCCAGAAACTATCGCTGTGGACACTGGGTAATTACATCATTTAGCAATGCCCAGCTTTCTCTCCCTAGTGACGACTAGCCTCTTTGGAGTTTCTTCAACCTAGGAGCACAACTTGCTTTATAGGCCAGGTAGAAACATTTTACACTTTAACCAAATGTCTGTGGTGCGTTTTCCTGTGCCTCATCTCATTTGATCCTCACAGAAATCCTGGAGTAGGTACAAAGGAGACTCGGTGGAATCCTATTTTCTTTTCATTAGCCGGAAAATGGAGATTTAGAAAGCTTAGAAACTTGACCCAACTGAAAAGAAGAAAGAAATGGTGGACCTTGAAAATGACTTCAGGTTTTCTCACTGTGCAGAATATAATCAAACACTGCTGCAGTTAAATATTTTACCCTTTGTTCTCCTTGCCCGATCTACAATAATCTGCTTTGTGTTGATATTTACTGCTGTGTTGCTGACAATTACCTGAAAGAGAAGTTGGGGTGCTTCACTGGGCTGGAAAAAGTTCACCTACATCAGAAAGCAGGTCTAATTAGGCAAGTTTATTCTACATATATAAAAGGCTAAGTTGACTTGCGCATGTGTGATACATAGAAAGCTCTTGCTGGCGCCAGTCTCACATGTGTGTTTCGATCTGGCATTGTCGATTGTGAATTTGGTTGACATTTCTATTATAAAGGACGAATAGTGATATTAAAATATTTCTTCTAATTAATTTCCTTTCAGTGTGCACAAATCTCTGCACCATGCCTCTGGTATTACTATAAAAATCTATGCTGTTAATGAGATTTGTTGTCTGACAAGTGAATCTTTTCTGGTATAATTACATATATAGGAGTAAAAAATCTTTTTATTTCTGTTTCACTTACCTAGTTCTATAAAACAAACCACCCCCCAAATTTAATGGCTTTAAGTAATAACTTTATTTATTTATTTATTTTTGTGATCCTCACTAGAGGATATTTTTTCCATTGCTTTTCAGAGAGAGTTGAAGTGGGTGCGGGGAGGGAGATATATCTACTGGTTGCCTCCCATATGCGCCCTGACTGGGGGCGGGAATTGAACCTGCATAGGCCAACACTCTAACCATTCTCAACCTTCTGGCCCTTTAAATATGGTTCCTTGTGTTGTGACCCAACCATAAGATTATTTTCGTTGCTACTTCATAACTGTAATGTTGCTACTGTTATGAATCATAATGTAAATATCTGATATGCAGGATAGTCTTAGGCGATCCCTGTGAAAGGGTCGTTTGACTGCCAAAGGGGTTGCGACCCACAGGTTGAGAACCACTGCTCTAACTACTAAGCACACCAGCCAGGGCGTAATAACTATTTTTTTCATCATTCTTTGGGTTGTCTACACTCAGCCAGTTCATTCATACGGTGTTGGCTAGGATCACTCATGCACCTGAATCCAGCTGGTAACTCAGCTGGGTTTGGAACATCCAAGATGACTGGAATAAAGATTATCTCGGCCATTCTGTCCTGCTTCATGGACTTCATCATGGTGGCTTAGGGCTCCAAGAGGAAGTCATGAGATTTCTTAAGTGCTAGGCTTATAACTTACTCGGCATCACTTGGCCACATTCTGTAAGGCCAGCTCTCAAGGACAGGAGATATAGGAACTCTAGGAGGAGGGCATGCAAGTTTACAGGAATGGGAAGCAATTATTGACAGCCATATTTACAGACAATCTATTACACTTACTATTACATTTTGTCATGCAAAAACATTTTTTAAAAATTTCCATTTATCTCTCCTTTACCCTCTTCTACCACTTTTCCCTCTGGTAATCATCATACTATTGTCTGTGTCTATGAGGGTGTTTTGTTTTGTTTTTTGCTTAATCCCTTTACCTTTTTCAAACATTTTTTATTTTAGGTAGTGATAGTTATTCCCTGCCAAATTAATAATGGCTATTTAGTTGAGTTGTTTAGAATCACTAATTATCAGTCAGCAAGTAAAATTTTTCTATTTTTTCTCCCTAGTATTGACTGTGCAGGTATTTTGAAACTCCGCAACTCAGATATAGAACTTCGAAAAGGAGAAACTGATATTGGCAGAAAGAATACTAGAGTACGACTTGTGTTTCGTGTACACATCCCACAGCCCAATGGAAAAGTCCTTTCTCTGCAGACAGCTTCTATACCTGTTGAGTGCTGTAAGTGAGCTTTGTGATGATGTTTTAAAATTTTGTTTACAATAGGTCATTTTCTGTTTTGCTTATAATGTGATGTTTGGATAAAAAGTGTAAACTGAGGCACAGAGTCTGGATAGCTGATGTGATCTTCTTATGAAAATAAGCTACACGGTTAGGGGAGGAGTAATGATCTTGAAGTTAGAAAATGATTTCTTGTTATAATTTGACCCTAGGTAGCTGTGTGACCATAGATAAATTCTCTTGACTACAATTTCCTGTTTAAAAAAATTTTTTTTTATTGATTGATTTTTAGAGAAAGAGGAAGGGAGTAGGAGAGGGAGATCGATTTGTAGTTCTACTTATTTATGCAGTCATTGGTTGATTCTCTTATATGCCCTGACTGGGGATCAAACCCACAACCTTGGAGTATCTGGACGCTGCTCTAATCAGCTGACCTACCCAACCAGGTCTTGACCACGGTTTTCTTATCTATAAATGAGGCAGTTGGGCTTGATGACACCTGAGGACAAATCATGAAGCTATGATTCTGATATTAAGTATTACTTGGCCATCTTTGTTTAATTAAAATGTCAGCCTTTATGTTGGAAGATGCCTCTCTGAGAGAGCTGACACCTCAGCTAAATAAGAACTCACAGGATTTTGTTTCTTGTGGGTATTTTTTTTTACCATAAATTTAATTACAATATCAAATTGAGAAAGTAAATGCTTTTCCCCCTGATTTATAAAGACAAGATATGAAATAAGGCCCTAGAACATGATATCTACTCAAGATGCTTGTCTCTGAGAGCTGACACCTCAGCTAAATAAGAACTCACAGGATTTTGTTTCTTGTGGGTATTTTTTTTTACCATAAATTTAATTACAATATCAAATTGAGAAAGTAAATGCTTTTCCCCCTGATTTATAAAGACAAGATATGAAATAAGGCCCTAGAACATGATATCTACTCAAGCCCCAAAGAACTGGGGACCTCTGGCAGGTTAGCTAGTAGCACTGAAATATTGAGACTGCTGTATAGACCTTTCTGGCATAGTCTTAGAAGTGTTTTAATTTCATGTCTTACTTTTGTGTAAGAGGAAACAGGCACAAGTATCTCAAGTACTCATCCAAGGTTATTTGTTTATAGGTGACAGAGCTGTGCCTAGAGCACAAGTTTTCTTAATACTCTTTCAGTTATACCATTTTATTTCTGTTAACCACATCTTAATTTGGGATTACAGCTACTTAATTACCTTTTTGTACCTCCATTTGCTGAATTGGAGTAATACTTTATCATTTCCCTGTTGACTGTGGGAATCACTGAATAAATCCATGGTAATAGAAATCACTGTAAAAGTAATTCTTGTATTAATTTTTAATAGATAATACAAGTACATGGTATAACATTCAGAAAGAATAAAAGAATATAGAGTGAAAAGCAAATTTCTAAGTCAACTAGTTCTTCATAAAAGCAACTATCATTGCCAGCTTTTTTATCATCCTGCCAGAGTATTCTGTACCCATATAAGCACATATATTTAGTAAAACAATTTAAATAAGTTCATAGGGTAGTTTGAGTTTTCGAGATGCAAGTTCCTCTGAAATTTTCTATTTTTATTCTAGTTTATTAAATTAATATATGATTATTGTTGAGAATATAGAAAATGTAGAATAATACAAAGAGTAGTGTTAAAATCTTTTGTAATATCACTTGCCCAAGATAGTCGCTATTGACTATTTTTGGGGTTTTCTCTTTTTGTTTATACCTTGTACATATATACAATATTTTTATTTACTTATTTATTTAAATATACTTTTATTGATTTCAGAGAGGAAGGGAGAGGGAGAGAGTCAGAAATATCAATGATGAGAATCACTGATCGGCTGCCTCCTGTACACCTCACACTGGGGATAGAGCCAGCAACCCAGGCATGTGCCCCTGAACAGAATCAAACCCAGGACCCTCATTCCGCAGGACAGGACTATATACAATATCTTTAGTTGGGCTTACCTGATACAGTTTTATAACTTGTTTTGATATTTTGACTTATAATGGGCATTTTCTCATATTGCTAAATATTGTTCAAAAATACAATTTTTAACACATGTAGAATTTTTTATTATGACGATAAAAATTTTTGTTACTTTTGATACCATTGTAATTTAACCTAGTTATGAATAACTAGAAAGGAGCAAAAGGAAGGCCAAATATATCATTTATGCAGTTTTGCTAGGAAGTTGCGTGTTAACACTCCCCATGATGCCGCCAGTCTGTTCCCTGCAGATAATTGGAGGAGGAACTGGACAGGGGAAGAATAGAGGCCTGCCCAATAAAATCTGGGTGAAATAAGAAAGGTACTTGCCTATCAGTCACACCTGGGAACTGGTCATTGGCCACTGCAAGCAAGGGAAGATTTAAGATATTTAACTCGCCCTGACCTGTTTGGCTCAGTGGATAGAGCGTCGGCCTGCGGACTCAAGGGTCCCAGGTTCGATTCCGGTCAAGGGCATGTACCTTGGTTGAGGGCACATCCCCAGTGGGGAGTGTGCAGGAGGCAGCTGATCAATGTTCCTCTCTCATTGATGTTTCTAACTCTCTATCCCTCTCCCTTCCTCTCTGTAAAAAATCAATAAAATATATATTTTTTTAAAAAGATATTTAACTCCCTAAACAAAGGAGTTTGAGCTCTTGCTCTTGTGTTTTTGGGACTCCTGGGAACGTTGTTACTGGGGCCATGCACTCTTGGCTCCCCTGAATTTGCCCTCAAAGCTCACGGCCATGTGAACCCCACACAGTGGTTTGCAACTAGCCTGGCGCTGTGCCCGACCCAATTCCAACATGGAAAGGAAAGTTTGGACACAGGCTTTGCTTTTAGCTCTACCAAATCCCCAACTGCACATCATCTAGGACTGGATTGAGGGAAATGGGACTTTGTGGGGGTTTTTGTATTTGTTTTTTCTCTC